CATTCCCACAAAACCTCTGGAGCTGAGTCTAGTCTCTGGTTTTGGTTTATTGACACTGTCATTTTGATCTGAGGGTGAAAAGGGATTCAATCTAAGAATAAGTCATTTCTTAGACAATCTAGAAGAGATGTATTAGTTGAAAAGTCATTCACTGTTTGAGGAAACACTTTCCACATATTTTCCATGCAGTGTGTGTGTGTGTGTGTGTGTGTGTGTGTGTATACGCACGTGCGCACAGACTACCTTTTAGGATTTTGCTGTATGTTATATAACTTTACTTTGCAACTTTTACTTTCCTGAAAGTGTCTGGATAAGTAATGTGTAAAGTGTTAGGCAAAGTTGTTTCTGTTCTATCTTGAGCAGTTCAAAAAATAACCTTCAGGTCACCTTCCCTATCATGTGCAGATTGGCTTGGTGTGCACTCCAGAGGTGCCAATCATTCTTTTTGCGCTTACTCCTCTCTGTGAGAGGACTCACAGCACTGGAAGAGGATCACCATGTGATCCCTGCCGCTTAACTTAGCCACAGCAGATGGGAAGCCAGAGCCCAGATGAGTCATTAGATTTTCTGCCATGAGGAGTTGGAATTGTGACTCAGTGACTGAGTCTGCTAGCTGCATGGGTTTCTCTTTCTTGTGTTTCTCAAATAGCCTCAAGCCCTTCAGCCTCCTGGGCCATGTGTTCCTTGAATATCCAAACAAAATGTCTTGGGCCATGTCTTCCTTGAATATCCAAATAAAATGTCTTAAGTCCTGCGGTGGAGACAAATGCTATATGTTAAACCCAGTTTCATTTCTTTTTCCTCTTCCTGGGCACACAGGAGGACCACATTTCCCAGCTTCCCTTGCAGTTAAGTTGTGCCATGGGCTGTCAGGTGCTAAGCAGAGAGGCAATGGTCAGGAAGAAGAGGCAGGAGTCTTTTCTTGTGCAAGAGCTGGCAGTTAAAGAGGAGAAGAGTAGAATGGTGTTGGTAAGGTCAGACGGAGGCTTTTCCTTTTAAGGAAGCCTTGTGCATATGATGGAGCAGGGAGTGGGCCACTGGTATTGAAGAGAGGAAATGTGGTAGAAATGGATGGGTCGAAGGGTGAGCTTAAAACAAGATGGGCATGTCAGGCAGGGACAAGGAGTTACTGAGGAAGCTTATCCAGAGGCCTCCGCCTTCTCCCTGGGTAAGGACCACCTGCTGAGGGCTGGGGAGGAGAAAGGTTGGGAAAAGAGAAGCTCTGAAACTACCCTCTGGGCAAGTTCGTGGAGCTGGACAGCATGGATTTGTAAGCCAGACATGAAGAGTTTTGTGCCAACCCTGTGGAGTGTGGTGTATTTGGAGAAAGAGCAGAGAAGGCTGTCTGTGGAAATTACCAGGAGTCAGAAGCCCATGTTAATCTAACATTGTCACTGGCCTAAAGAACAGACGATAGGGAGAGAAATGGTGTTCTTCTAGGCCCATGTTTATGCACTGTTTCTTCTTACTCATACCCCAGTGTCTTCAAGTACCAAAACGTTCCATTTCTATGGAATATCTCCTCTCATCTGTAAGAATAAAAAGGATGTTCATTTTTAAATTTTTATTTATTTTTTTTTAATTATTTATTTATTTTTGAGACGGGGTCTCGCTCTGTCACCAGGCTGGAGTGCGGTGGCACGATCTCGGCTCACTGCAACCTCCACCTCCCGGGTTCAAGCAATTATTCTGCCTCAGCCACCCGAGTAGCTGGGATTACAGGCGCACGCCACCACGCCAAGCTAATTTTTGTATTTTTTAGTAGATACAGGGTTTCACCATGTTGGCCAGGATGGTCTTGATCTCTTGACCTCGTGATCTGCCTGCCTCGGCCTCCCAAAGTGCTGGGATTACAGGCATGAGCCACCACGCCCAGCGTATTTATTTTATTTTATTTTTTTTACTGCTACTTGTGGAGCAGGGCTAGCCCACATAGGCAGTGTGCCTAGTCAGCCAGATGTTCATTAAAAAAAGAAAAAAAATTAGGTGCTCATTACTAAACAGAACAAAATCAATCTTTTTTATTTTTAAGAGCCAAAACAATAGTTAACTACTAATTTGAGCTGGGGATTTACTGTCTGGAAAAGTAGTAATTATTAAGTTATTCAAAAAATAAATATAAAAGTAACAGGTTCATTTTTAAAATTTGTTCAAAGATGAGCTTTAAAAAAATCCATAATCACATCATCCAGAGCAAAACATTTAAAATATTTTGGTGTCTTAAAAAATTAGTGTCATTCCAGATACAGTTTTTTACTCAGTGCTTGTCACACATTATTTTATAAATAATTTTCTAACTCATCAAAGGAGCTTTAAAATATAAATTTACTGACTCTAATATATAGTACCATTTTTTTTTTTTTTTACTTTAAGTCTATTTTGTTTGTTTTTTGCGATAGGATCTTGCTCTGTTGCCCAGGCTAGATGGAGTGCAGTGGTGCAATCATAGCTCATTAAAACGTCAAATTCCTGGGCTCAAGTGATCTTCCTGCCTCAGCCTCCGAAGTAGCTGGGATTACAGGTGCATGCCACCATGCCTGGCTAAATTTTTTTTTTTTTGGTAGAGATGGGGTCTCACTGTGTTGCCCAGGCTGGTCTTGAATGCCTGGCCTCAAGATCCTCTCATCTCAGCCGCCGAAAGTGTTGGGATTACAGGCATGGGCCACCAGTCCTGGCATAAATCTGTTTTCAGATGAAAAATTTAAAGCTGAAAATTGCGGCAATGTATATTCTGATTATTACCTTAGGACTGGTTTCTACAATGGTATCAATAGGGCAAAGAATGTATTTTTCTTTAAAAATAAAAGTTCTAAATTATTTTTTAAAATACACGTGCATCATTTAAAAAGGAAAATGATCTATAAAGTATACACTGACCAGTCTTGTCCTCATCCCATTCACCTCATTATGCCTTGTCCCCTATAGGTAACCATTTTTCTCAGTTTCCCGTTTTTATTTCCAGTATTTCTTTCTCAAATGTTTATTTCTCAATGAGAGAAATATCCTGTTTCTCACAACCTTACAAAAAGGGCGGATATTTTATACACGGTTCCATGCCTTGCTTTTTTCACCTTACTATGAATCCCAGAGATCTCGCCATATAAGTTTGTAAAGATATTTCCTATTCCTCTTGTCTCCCAGTTGCATAAAGTTCCATTGTATGGATGTACCACCATTTATTCCACTAGGAGCTCTGAGTTGTTGTCTTATCTTTTGCTATTACAAACAAAGCTATAATAAATAATCTTGAAGTGTGTCATTACATATATGTCTGAGAATATCTGTAGAATAGATTTCAAAAAGTTGGATGCAGAGTGGCCCCTAGGATGTGTGGGGCTCCAGGCAAATATTCTTTGCAGGGCTGCTGCTCTCATAGGCAATTTGGCTTTAAACTTTTGCAAAATTCTTGAACCCATTTGAAGCACAGTGATTTATCAATGAAGATTTAGTGTAGTGGATAGAAAAGAGGTACTTACATATTTGGCTACTTCAGTAAGTGCAAATGAAGATTCTTCATGGCGTCCAGGTACCATCTTTTTGTGTTTTTTCTTCACTGTCAAATGTGTTATTCCTGGCTAATTTCATCTCTCTCACTGCAAGGAAAAGTTACCAGTATTGTTACTAGTTGCAATGCCATGGCTCTTTAGAACCTATTTGTATTGAAATGGTACCACACTGACGTCACCACACCGACAGTAGGCAGGGACACCAATTGAAAGGGCCAACTGTGCAGCAGTCGTCTTGAATACCTTTGGAAGAGAAAGGGACAGCCATCCCTAGAGAACTGCCTGACATGTGACCTAGAGCCAGCAGAGAGGGCGGGGAAACCTCCCTGAGTGTAAGTAATGAAGTATGCACAGGATAAAGGGTGACTGCTACCACTGTGTCATACTCCGAGGCAATGCTGCAGCCAGAATGCTGACATAAGAGAGCTAAGGCTTGAGCCCAAGGGTTAACGATGGACAGTTGGTGACCCAGAGCTCTGAACTTGCCCTGTGTCTGACAGAGTCATGCAAAATCAACATGTCATTTTGGTCAGTAAGTCATCAACTCATCAAATTGCCTTCCTGGAACTAGGGCTGGCCATAGAATCCTGGAACTACCTCATAGGCATGAGTCTCTGGTATCTGGTGGACCTCAGACAAGGGGAAAAACAGACACTGGGGCCCACTGCCAGCCCACTGGCCAGTCCCAGGCTTTGGATGGCAACTTACAAAACTGTAAGGTAGGAGCTTCTGCCAACTGGAGACCATACAAGACCAGTTCCAAGTTGGGACACCGTGCCCAGATGGCACTGCTGACCCCAGCTAGTCTCGGTATCGGGGGGTGGAGGGGGAGAGACTTAGAAACAAGATGTAGAAATTAGGAATTCACTCTAAAGAAGGGGTGAGTGAGGGTGTGTGTGTGTGTGTGTGTGTGTGTGTGTGTTTAGGGCCAGATAGTAAATATCTCAGGCTTTCAGGCTCTATGGTCTTTTTTGAAGCTACTCATTCTCCTGTGTAGAATGGGGCATGGAAATGAATGGGGCATGGCTGAATTCTAATATGCTTTATTTATCCAGGCAGCAAACTCGATTTGGTCCACTGGCTGAAATTTGCCAAACTTTCCTGTAAATCATGCAGCAAAGGCCCAGCCTTTACTTGCCTGGTAATGGCGGAATTACAGGCTAGGATGACACATGTGTTTGTAATTTTGTAATATATGGCCAGATTCCCCACTACAGAGCTTTTATCATTCTGTTTTACCACCAGCAATTTTGTCTCCCGACAGGCTTGCCAAAAGAATTTTATCTAGTTTTGAGTTTTTGCCAGTCTGATAGGTAAGTAGTATCTCAGTGTGATTTTAATTAGCATTTCTTTTGAGTGGTATTAAGGATTTTTTTTTCTGTGAACCATCTCTCCTCTGGTTATTTTACTGTTGGGTTGTTGATATTTTTTTCCTTGATTTATAAAAGTTCTTTATTCGCTAAGGAGATTAACCTTCAATATGTATTCTGTAGTTGTTGGATAAAGTGTTCTAAAGATGTCAGTCAGGTCAAGGTGGATGAGAATGGTCAAATGCTTGAGATACCCAGTAGTCATTCAAGCAGAGTTGTCTGGGAGTATTTGGAAATACAGATTTGGAACTCCATTGAGAGGCTGGGACTAGATACATTTTGGAATAATCAGCATAGATGATATTTATAATAATAATATGAGTAAGGTCACATAGGGAAAGAAAGCAGATAGAGAAGAGATGATAAAACTGAGCCCTAGAGCATTCCAGCATTTAGAGATTGAGAACAAGGGAAGCAACTAGCAAAACAAACTGATAAGGGGCTTTCAATAAGGTAAGAAAGAAAGCAAAGGGCAGACTTTTGGAAGCAAAGTAAAGTAAATATTTCAAGAAGGAAGGAAATTCTGTTAAATGACTTTAGAGATTAAATAAGGTAAGAATTCGTACTGGAAATTGATCATTGGATTCCGCAATATGTAGGCTATTGGTGACTTTGACAGTGAAAATACATTTTTGGTAAGGAAGTTTAAGAGGAAGAGAATAATTTTGCATGAGAATCTTGAGTGGCATATTTTTGTCCAAACATCAAATGACTGGTTATTTAAGAAAAAGGAAGTAGAGAACAAAGCAAAAAAGCTAAGCATATCATTGAGTGTCTGAGAAAATCATAAGGTTTGTGAAGAATGAATTTATGAAAGGAATTTTTGTGTGATCATGTTGGTTACAATTAGAAGGGAATCATTTGTAAGCTTTTCTAAGGATTGAGCTTTGATATTAAAAATATCCTAACACAAAATTAAATTTTGGTCCCTTGTGCTAGAATAGCAAAAGTTTTCTTGAATTATTGATCTGCTCTTAGCAAAAATTATGAGGTTTTTAATTCTAAAATCTTTCTTTAGCAGCCATTTTCTAAACTATAGACAGTTTATGTTTCTGCCACATTTCTTCCTGACATTCGTTTAATATCCCTAGTTTCAGGCTGAAAATGCCGTCTTCATTCAGATTGGTAATTTCATTTATCAAGGTAGAGTTTTGCTCTTGAAGCTTCTTAAATCTATTTCTCAGTTCAACTTTGTCTCTGTCTTGCGACGTGATTTGCACGTCACATCACTGCCTCCTGTTCTTCTTCCTCTCCTTTGGAAGGACTGAGATGATCTTGCTCTCCTTCAACTTTTTTGTCAGTTCCTTAACTTTTTTCTCCAGCTCTAACTCTGTTGTTATAAGCTGACACAAAAATGCTTATCTTAAAGGCCTGGAAAATCAGTGTTTTCTTCTAGTATAACTTGATTTTGTCGGCTTTTCTTAATGTGTCTGAATTGTTCCATGTAATCAGGAAACTTCTGATGATGTTACTAAGAGACATATATTCCCCTGCTCAAGGTACTAGTTTTCTTGTTTACATTTCTGTGTAATATGATATACCTTCATAACCTTGGGCCCACTCTTCCTGTGTCTGATTAAGTTCAAGTACACTTTCATGAGGCTTGACTTCCAGATTATCTAAATAGGCTTCCCATATGGAGAAGCAGTTATACTGGAGGTTTTTCTTTTTGGTAACTGGCCTGAAAAGCAAATATTTTGCATTTTATCAAGATAATTTCCTGTTGGTGTCTTTATTTTTATTGTTATATAGAAAAACTGAGCTTTGAAAACTTGTGGGTTTTTTTTTTTTTTNATTTATGAAACTTTCTGTATTGCTTTTGTAGTCTTTTATCACTCTGGTTAAATGAATGACTATTATTTCACAGTAACCTGTGATCCTTGTTATGATCAAGTATTTTGAACTTTTTGACATCTTTGGCAGGCTTCTTCAGGATCAACATTCTAAATTAAATCTTTTTGACCTAGAATTAACTTCAGGATTTTCCATGTAGGCCCCTGGAGAGCCTCAAAGGATGTATCTCTCGTCTTATAGAGACATCAAATGACTAGGCTTGCTTAGTAAATTGTATGGGAAGTACTGTCAAATGATAACGTGATGCTAGGTTTTCTTTCAGTTACATTTATGGGTATGTTATTGATATGAATGTCCCAAAATCGTATAAAACTCTTAGAAATCTAATATCTTGGCCAAGCATGGTGGCTCACGCCTATAATCCCAGTAATTTGGAAGGCTGAGGCGGGTGGATCACTTGAGGTCAGGAGTTCGAGACCAGCCTGACTAACATGGTGAAACCCCATCTCTACTAAAAATACAAAATATCAGCCAGGTGTGTTGGCATGCACCTGCAATCTCAGTTACTCTGGAGGTTGGGGAAGGAGAATAGCTTGAACCTGGGAGGCAGGGGTTGCAGTAAACCGAAGTCGTGGTATTGTACTCCGGCCTGGACAACAAAAACAAAACTCTGTCTCAAAAAAAAAAAAGAAAAAAGTAAAGAAATCTATCTTATTGGCCATAATTCTGGTTATTATATTGTCTGCCACAAAATAACCAAATTTCCTTGTCAATTGCTGATTATAATGAACCGAAGTCAGATTTTTAACCATGCCTATTTTAAGTCTCTGCCATTTAGGATTATTGTTTTGACATTTCTCCAAAAGAATTTGCAATTAGTTTCATGAAAAATACTCTAACAAGTACTCTTAAATACAGGTTTCTAATAACTGTAAGATCAATGGACGAAATAAAAATTCTTCAAAATTCTAATGAAGAAACTGCTGGGTTCATAAAACAGATAATAAGATAGAGCCAAACAAAAATTAATTACATGAGATTAAGTAACTGATGAAGATGTTTTTATGTTTATTTGAGATATTATTGGTTATTAAAATGTTTTATTTTCCAGATTTAAGGCATTTTTTTCTTAAGTTATCCATAGTTTATAGAAATTCGATAAAGTATACTTGTGTGAACAAAGATGGAAGCATTTGCTTTTCTACCTACTTGATGCCTCTAAAATGTGGCAACTATTCATGGTTATCTGCATAAATTCATTAAAAATCTGCCTTCTATAACTGGATACAGTGAAAACACTGGTTATGTTACTGAGGCTTTGACTGAAATAGATTTGAGAATGTGCATAGAATGCCTGACTTCAAGGGTTCTCAGCCTTACAGCGAATAGAAACTCACTTCCTAGCAGGCTCAGGAGCCTTAGGACTGTGGGTAACATTCAAAGTCTTCCTTAGTTTGGTTTCCTAGCCTCAAGAAGTTTTTAAATCTGAGATTCCTGTGTGGTCAATGTAGGCAGAAAAAGATACGTTTATAAAGAAAAAGCTACACTACATCTGCAATTAGACTGTAGCTCTGTGGATTGTTTTCAGGTTCTTATTTACCTATAGAGTAGGCTAGATCCTGAATTCTTTCATATTCCTCCACTCCAACTTTCTCCCATGGAATTACTAAAAACAGAAACTGCTCTGTTCCTCAATCATCTCTATAAGCTGAAATGATGAATTTCAAGGAACAAGTCTTGTGTCTGATGTGTGGGCCACACAAAAAGTTCACCAAACTGCCTAATGCCATAACCAGACATATTCAAACTGCAAACAGGATAAGAAATGGACATTGTCACGCTGTAGACAGCTTTTCCCAAAATATTGGAACAAGACTCTATATTATGACAAGACCCTGACCTCCCTTACTGCTGCTACCTTTTCACTTGGCAGGATAATTGTGTAATTTAAATTTCATAATCAGTAGCTTCTGCCAGTAACTAGACAGAAGCTAATCTAAAAGATTCCTTAGTCCACTTATTGGGTGACTTTGGTAACATCCTTAAGACAATTGGTGCTCACCAGTAATGAGATACTAGATAATAAACAGCTCTATATTGTTTATTGGCTAAATAAGAAAATTTCTGTGCTATTGCAAATATTACATGCTATACCTGGAAAAATCTCTCTAGGAAAGTTGAAACCCATATACGCAAAATAAAAACATAGGCCACATGGTTACAACAGGTCTTACCTAATTCTGTATGGTCATTTGCTTCATTCAATTCGTTGCCTCTAAGCCTAGATTCACAGCTCAAAACCATTATGCAAACTGGGATTTTCACATTGCTATTATTTCCTTTTTAAACTTTGCACTATTACTTGTTAAATTTTTGTAGAAGTAGAATTCCTAAACAGAACAATGCTGGCCCAGCACGTGGAGATAACAGCAAACGACTATGGCTCAGAAAAAATTGAATTTAATAATGGACTCCAGATAGGCTTACCCCGAGATTCACTCCCTTCAAACCCCCCTTGTGGCTCAAATGTGGATAAAAGGGTTTTGGCATTGACTGCTAGCTACCATTCACTTCCTCTAACACAGGACCAGATCAGCAACCCAGGACAGGCACATTCTGGCACCAAGGGATATCCACACCTAAATACAGGATGACTGATCAGTGTGATGCTTCTGGAGAAATATCTTGATCAAAAGGGGGAAATGTGAAAGTTGTCAGAAACATAATGGAGTCACTTCTGTTAATAAAACTCTGACAAGTAGAGCCAGAGAAGGCCATGAAGAAAGGATTCTCATCCCTAAATGCCTGGTAACAAAAACCATCACAAACATCTCTGCAAAAACCACATCCTTGTACAAAGACCATTGTAACCTTACACACAAAAAATACTGCTGTGAGAATATCTGCCCAGCAACTGCCTGAGCAACCTCAGACTGGCGCCACGCTTGTTATGGATCCTTGTAGCCAAGGATAAAGATCTCAAAATAATTAAGTAATCCTTCTCTAAAAAACCTCCTTCTTCTTTTACCTCCCTGAATATGCAGGTAGTTCATATGCAGTGAGAATACTCACTATGCAATGGGAACACTGTGGCACATGCATTCCTATTGCAGTGCCTATTCCTGAATATCATTTTCTTTTAGAAATTTTCTCTCTGTTTGCTATTTAGGTTGCCAACAAGTTTGCTTTCAGTAAAGTGCTGGGGACAAAGACCTGTCTCTCAGAAAGTGAAGTCATTGGAGAAACAGAGTAGGTTGCTGGGCAATTGAGGGTTAACTTGGTGTCTGAGGTTATAAATTTAAAGATCTGTCCAGAGAAGTTGTGTGGTTTTCATGAGCCATATTAAGCACTCAGGTACAGGCAAAACATAGATGTTTTTATCCAGGGTTTGTGTTCCTTCCTGCCAGCATGAGAGAGGCAGTTGTTGGATGTATGGATTGATGAACCAAGCAATTTAAGTTGGATAATGAGAGAAGCGAGGAAATGAGGAGAGTATTTGACAGTCAAAAGTGGTAAAGCAATGCATTGGAGGTCTAGATATGGTCAAAGCCCAATTTATTATAATTCATAAATATCCTATGTATACATAAATTACCCCAGTCTCTTCTGGGAGATTCCCACACTGGCTTGATGTTGTCTAGTTCATCAAGAAGTAAGTATAACAAGACTGGGTAATTATTTCTTGGATTTTATTCTTAGTTGAGTTTACAACAGTTTGAAGATGGCAGAAGCCCATTATAAATAGGTACACTATACCCATTTATAGATAAAAGGCAAGGAAGCCTAATTACTGAAAGATTTTTTTAAATGGTCTTTATTTGGCTACATCATTGATAGTCTATGCTGTGGAATTTTTTGACATCTCCCAGAAGACATATTACTGTAAGTTTCCATTTTATCAGGTTCTAAGAAACTTTATTTTTGAAAGAAAAAAATGGTGGGCAAGAAAGGAAAATGTTTTTAAAAGAGTTATCTGTGTATAAATAAAGTGGCTGATAAATTAGTGAAAGGAAGAAGTTTGGAAAGCAGAAGTTTTAATGTATAAAAATAAATATAGTGAACTAACATTACTTAAGACTGATAATAGATGATTGTTGTGGGTAAATGAAATGAGTCATTTTATCCGTTGCATACTTACGAGAAGGCTTTCAAAAGGTCAGTAATAACTTAAAGGAATTTACATCCCTTTTATAATCAGCGAATTGGTGACTAATTTTTTTTTCTCCTATTACATGCCTTTTAGACATTTGGTTGCTCTAACCAAGGTTGGATAGCAAAAGAGAAACAAGACAGAACTCTGTCAGTCATTATATTTATTTACCAGCATTTACGGCAAATGGCCAGACCTGGGCAAGGTGGTAGCAATGACGGATTCTACGAATTAAGGCATTGTTTTTTATTTCAAAATTTTCATTTACCTGTATTTTCCTTGGTCTTAGAAATATGAATAATTTATAGCTTGCAATACTCACCATCAGGATATAATAAATGGAGGTTTCTTTGTCTGAAATCAAAAAGATGTAGTAACACTCTATTGCACTTTTTAAAATCCTATTTTTCCAGTTGGCTTCCTTTCAGTTAATTAGTTAGGTAGTCTTGGTACATTTGGAGGGTCATAAACGTGTCATAAAAAGAGCACTGGCATTATGAAAACCTGGATGTTAGGGATTTCACAATTTAGTCATTTTGCAGCTGCACGACCTTAGAAATATAAGTTCTCTGAATGTCAGTCTCCTCTGCTGTAAAATAGAGATAGGAATACCCATCTGACATATTTTTCAGGTACTATTGTGAGTATCAAATAATATTGTGTATTTGAATGTGCACTGGATGTGTAATACAACAGACTAAAGTTGTTGATTAATGCTTTAAAAATGTAGCTTTCACTGTATGTTTTTTGTAAAAAAAAATCAAAATAGAAATCAGTGGGAAATGTAAATATTTATGAATCATACAGCCCAAATGTAAATAAGTAATTTACAAATGCTTTACAATAAAATCAAAGATATTATTCATGGATTTTTAAAGTAAAAAATCTTTGCAGCTAAATATTCATCAACTTAAACTTATTCTTTCTTTTATAAGAATGTTCACTATGTGACATTATAACTCTCCAAAGGAGAAATTCTATAATTAGTTCAGTTCTCTGCCTTAAAAGTTTCATTATAAGGCAGAAGAATGGAATAATTAAGTTTAAAAATAAGCAAAAATATATAACTCTAAACCACAGCCCCCTCATTTAAAAGAGCTTAACAAGAATACTTTTCCCAATGTACTTATAAACAACCTAATATTTCTATAATAACACAAACGTACAACTTAAATCATGATCAAAGTTAATATGCAATTTGATACCCTTATCAGCTTAAATTATTAAACATCTAATGGTCTTGAGAGATTGCACTGAATTTTAAAAAATGAACCACATGTGCTTTAAAAATGGTTACCTATTGAATACGGTGTTGGTCAACTGTTTAGAATATAGGCCGGAGTTTTAGAAAAATATTTGAGAAATACAGTATATATGATAGGGTCCCATGCAGAAATAAGCCTGTACAAATGGATATGTTCAAGCCTGAACAATAATTGAGGTAATCGACCAACTTCTTTTATTTAAAGGGTAAGTCACAGGCTTCTTTAAAAAAGCAAATGAATCACTTGCTCATTTTAAGTTTCTTATCTTGATTATATTAAATAGTACAGTTTTTTAAAAAAATAAGAAATGATTAATTAGAGTGTAGGTAACAAATTAGCTGGGCACGGTGGCGCATTCCTGTAATCCCAGCTACTCAGGAGGCTGAGGCAGGAGAATTACTTGAACCCAGGAGGCAGAGGTTGGAGTAAGCCAAGGTTGCACCACTGCATTCCAGCCTGGGCAACACAGCAAGACTCCATCTTTAAAAAAAAAAAAAAGAAGAAGAAGAATATAGGTACAAATAGCAAATTCTGGTCAGTAGCAAAATTTTTGGACCAATGACAAAAACATATCAATAAACTATGTTTAAGAATAACTCTATATTGCTGATATTCTAACAGCACTATGACCTTTGCTATCAGCAATCCAAGATTTAGTTCTTCATCAGAAGTCTCCCTCCCTCTCTCTCTCTCTCTCCCTCTCTCTCTCACACACACACACACACACACACACACACACACAGACATCCACATACACATACACAATTTCTCACACCATCTTTTCTCTACAAATGCATCTCAGGTTATCTTCTTTTTTTGAAGATTACATTTTCTAAAACACATCAACATTTTTCCAACAAATCAATGATCAAAAAATGACCCACTGCTTTCATTAAAGATTTCTGAGATCACTCTATGTTTAACAATTAGCCTGACAAGAACTTGCAGAACTGAAATTGAATTGGCATTGGCACAAGGTAATTTTATATGGAGGTAAAAGTGAGTTTATCTTATGCGCAGCAAAACATATTTAGGTCAGTTTAAATAGGAGCAACTGGTAAATTGATCCTCAGCTAGCATAGAGGTGGGCAATATTAAAACGATTCAAAGCTTGGTTGGGCACCCTTCATTTTATAGTATGCCTGGGATACAGCGCATCTGTGAGACAACAAAGGCTAAGAGCTCTGCTTCTAATCCTGCATTACAAACTTAATAATAAAGTACATTTGCTATGTTTGTGGTTTTAAAATTACTCACTGTAAACATCCTATATTCTTTCCTAATTAATTTCAGAGCTGGAGTTTATATCTATGTCTATGTCAGATTATCATTTATTCTATGAAAAGCAGCACAAATACTGTTCATTCTGGTTTGACACAAATTTCTTAAAAAAAAAAAAAAAAGTTAAGGCCATTTAATTGGATCAGGGCCAACTGACGATTACCCTGGCAAAAGTCAAACTACTGATTTAAGAGTTTTGAAAAAGAGCCATAAGTGGTTGTAGTGTATCTTCTTCCTTGGTAACTTGACACAGTTTGTAGGATTTATTAGTCTCCAACATCTCCATCTCGATCTCCAATAAGCCAAAGAAAATGAAAACTTAAGGCTAACAGAGCTGTCCCAAGCAGATCACCCAGTGCTGTTAGGTAGGGGATGGAGAAACTATCTGGGTCCTTTCCTTTCCTCCAGAAGTGATGGACCATCCAGTCAGCAATCCACAGCAAGGTAAATACCTAGAAGAGAACACCAGAGATTACTCCTGCTGCCTGGACATTCCTAGCTCATGAAACATGGCCATACGCCTAAACTACTGGCTTCTGGAAGGAACAGCATGGGTCTAAGTCAAGAACCATGCTTGAAAAGAAGAAATATTTAATTGACAAGAGTATTTTCATTTCACAAGAAAAAAATAGCATGCATGTTTACAGGTACTAAAATTCTTCTTCAACTTTTTACATAGATCTCCTTTTATTCTAGCCTTCCACTAGCCACAATAATTCTTATATTTTAATAGCATTGTACAGTTTCCAAAAGACTATTTTCTATGTGATAAACCTGTGAAAAAGGAAGACATTATGAAGAAGGAAATAAAAATTAAAATCAGAAATTATTTAACAGTCTCCTGATGCAGGTATGTCAAATGACATAGAAAACTAACCATTCATTTACTAATTATAAGGCCATTTGTGACTTGTCAAGGAAAACTTCAGTGCAATAGTAAGATCAATAACTAGAAGGTAAATACATTTAGAAATGGCTCATCTAGTTATAGACATAGATACATACATAAAATGGAAATATTTTAAAGGACTATTCAAACATGAAGGTGTCACGTATAAATATTTTCTGGAGTATCAGAAATATAAAGGCTTTTGTGATGCTTTGAATTTTGGGACCAGATAAATGTTTTTTTCTTTGATCCACCTAGGGTAGGAGGATTTTCTAATTTTCATATCCCTGAAGCAGTAAAAGAAATTTGGGACTGGAATGGATAACGCCCACTAGTTTTGGACAAGTTGGCAAGGATGGCACAGTGGTTACAAGCACTTCTTGATAGCACTTCTCTATTGTCTGCTAGCTGACTGTAGGCAAGTTGCTCAACTTTCTGACTCTATTTAGCCAAATGAACATTAGAATGGTACCTACCTCATAAGAACGTTGTGAGGATTAAATAATATACTAAATAATTCAGTGCCTGACACACAATAAACTTTCAATAAATGTCTGTTATTTGTCTATGTTAACAGTATTATTATTCTATTTGTGGCCCCTCACGTATTGGGAACACCTAGTACGTGCAGAAGGAAGTCCACAGCAGGTCTAGAGTCTAGGCCAAGAGACCTTTCACTAACCTAGCAAGTAGGCCACGGGGGTGAGGCATTTGCCTTGGGACCCAAAGTGCTGTGTGTTACCATTTTAGCTCTAACACCTTTACCAGGAAGGAGAGTGGCTTGTCCAAACATAGGGAGACATGTACTTATTCTAAAGGCATATGAACTTTACAAGTCTTTGGACATCTGTCAGAGGTTGTACTTTAAGCCCCATTGTCTTTGCATGTGGTCAATTCTTCATTAGCATTTCACTGGTAAAGACTGTTTTAGAATCATATAAAGTTGGACCAGGCAGTCTGTTTTGGGTATGGAGGGAGCATGAAACGTTAGAAAGAATTCTGGACTTGGAAGTTATAAAATCTGGATTTTGATTCTCTGAGCCTAGCTGTTATCATTTGAAGAAAATGTGGGGCCTAATATCTGCTAAACTTCTTGAAATAATAAGAGCCTTGGTTTAGGGGGATGAAAGAAAAGGCAAAAAGGCAGCATGATGTCAAGTTCCATCATTAAAAGCATGATGCACAGACGAAGAGACAGTCACCCCATGGGACCCCCAGTGAGCCAGGCCACATCTAGCCTCTGTTTTGGATGCCCTATTTTCAGAGAAACTGGTTCACATCTGCATCTTCAGTACCTAGCAAAGTCACTAATTTAAAAAGTAGATAACATCTGATTGATGGAATGCAAATCAGCTGGAGACAATGTCATATAGGAGATTCCTATGAGAATAAGAATTGTTTGTCCCAGGCAAGGAAGGTGGGAGATGTGAACTTAAGACAAAGGTTATCATGTCAGGAGATGCTAGGTGTATAATATGTTGCTTCACAAAGTAGAGTGTTAGGTTAAAGAAGAAAAGACCAAAAGCAGAAGTTAAACAAAAATTGGCTAACTATAAATAGAACAAGTTATGTAGTAAACTCTAAATTACTGAAGTATGTAGAGGTTTAATAAGTAAATTTGCTGATTGAGTAAGTAATGCATACAGGAGGAAACATTAGTTATTAAAAGAATGAGGGTAGCTAATTTCTCTGGGACTAGCAAGAAAAATAAATGAATAAATTTATATAATGCATGTTTACATATTAATGTGTTATATACTTCTATACATAAATTTATATGTTATATGAGACACACATTTAGTAATGTCTTGTATAATATCTGCACTGAATAAGAGATTTTTCTGGAGCAGGGTGGCAAACTTGTAAATCTAGTTTTACTGCAACACAACTCAGCCCAAGGTTTACTTATCGCCTATTTAGTCGATTATTTAATCCTTGCTACATTCTCAGGAAGCAGGCAGGTTTACTATTCCTAATGTTCATTTGCAGAAACTGAGTTGGAGAGGTTAAGTGGCCATGTAGTTGTCACAGAGAGCATATGGTCCACTAATCCTCTGACATTAAAGAAAAACCTAAGGCAAAGTCCAAGAAACCTGTCCATGATCACAGAGCTTGCAAGTGGAGTCAGTTTCAAACTCACAGAGTCTAACACTAAAGCCCATGTTCTTTTTTATATTATTATTATACTTTAAGTTCTGTGGTACATATGCAGACGTGCAGGTTTGTTACATAGTTACACACATGCCATGGTGGTTTGCTGCACCCATCACCCTGTCATCTACATTAGGTATTTCTCCCAATGTTATCCCTCTCCTTGTCCCACACTGCCTGACAGGCCCCAGTGTGTGATGTTCCCCTTCCTGTGTCCATGTATTCCCATTGTTCAGCTCCCACTTATGAGTGAGAACATGTGGTGTTTGGTTTTCTGTTCCTGTGACAGTTTGCTGAGAATGCTGGTTTCCAGCTTCATCTATGTCCCTGCAAAGGACATGAATTCATCCTTTTTTATAGCTGCATAGTATTCCATGGTGTATATGTGCCACATTTTCTTTATCCAGTCTATCACTGATGGGCATCTGAGTTGGTTCCAAGTCTTTGCTATTGTGGACAGTGCTGCAATAAACATATGTGCAGATGTGTCTTTATAACAGAATGATTTATAATCCTTTGGGTATATATCCAGTAATGAGATGGCTGGGTCAAATGGTATTTCTAGTTCTAGATCCTTGAGGAATCGCCACACTGTCTTCCACAATGCTTGAACTAATTTATACTCCCAGCAACAGGCTAAAAGCGTTCCTATTTCTCCACGTCCTCTCCAGCATCTGTTGTCTCCTGACTTTTTTAATGAACTGGCATGAGATGGTATCTCATTGTGGTTTTGATTTACCTTTCTCTAATGACCAGTGATGGTGAGCTTTTTTTAATATGTTGTTGAATACATAAATGTCTCTTTTTGAGAAGAGTCTGTTCATATCCTTCACCCACTTTTTGATGGGGTTGTGTTTTTCTTGTAAATTTGTTTAAGTTCTTCATAGATTCTGTATATTAGCCCTTTGTCAGATGGGTAGACTGCAAAAATTTTCACCCATTCTATAGGTTCTCTGCTCACTCTTATGACAGTTTCTTTTGCTGTGCAGAAGCTCTTTCATTTAATTAGATCCCATTTGTCTATTTTGGCTTTTGTTGCCGTTACTTTTGGTGTTTTAGTCATGAAGTCCTTGCCCATACCTGTGTCCTGAATGATACTGCCTAGGTTTTCTTCTAGGGTTTTTATAGTTTTACGTCGTACATTTAAATCTTTAATCCATCTTGAGTTGATTTTTGTGTAAGGTGTAAGGAAGGGATCCAATTTTAGCTTTCTGCATATGGCTAGCCAGTTTCCCCAATACCATTTATTAATAGGGAATCCTTTCCCCATGGCTTGTTTTTGTCAGTTTTGTCAAAGATCAGATGGTTGTAGATGTGTGGCATTATTTCTGAGGCCTCTGTTCTGTTCCATGGGCCTATATCCCTGTTTTAGTACCAGTACAATGCTGTTTTGATTACTGTAACCTTGTAGTATAGTTTGAAGTCAGGTAGGTGATGCCTACAGCTGCTTTTTTTTTTTTTCTTGGCTTAGGATGGTCATGGCTACATGGGATCTTTTTGGCTTAGGATGGTCGTGGCCGTGTGGGCTCTTTTTTAGTTCCATATGAAATTTAAGGTATTTTTTTTTTCAATTCTGTGAAGAAAGTCAATGGTAGCTTGATGGGGATAGCACCGAATCTATAAATTACTTTGGGAAGTATTGTTAGAATCATAATATTGATTCTTCCTAACCATGAGCATGGATTTTCCATTTGTTTGGGTCCTCTCTTATTTCCTTGAGCAGTGGTTCGTAGTTCTCCTCGAAGAGGTTCTTTACATCCCTTGTTAGTTGTATTCTGAAGGTATTTAATTCTCTTTGTAGCAGTTGTGAACGGGAGTTCATGCATGATTTGGCTCTGTTTCTGTTATTGGTGTATAGGAATGCTTGTGATTTTTGCACATTGAGTTTGTAGCCAGAACTTTGCTGAAGTTGCTTATCAGCTTAAGGAGATTTTGAGCTGAGACAATGGGGTCTTCTAAATATACAATCATGTCATCTGCAAATAGAGACAATTTGACTTCCTCTTTTCCCAACTGAATACGCTTTATTTCTTCTTCTTGCCTGATTGCCTTGGCCACAACTTCCAATACTATGTTAAATAGAAGTGGTGAGAGAGGGCATCCTTGCCTTGAGCTGGTTTTCAAAGAGAATGCTTCCAGTTTTTGCCCATTCGGTATGGTAGTGGCTGTGGGTTTGTCATAAATAGCTCTTATTATTTTGAGATACGTTCCATCAATACCTAGTTTATTGAGAGCTTTTAGCATAAAGGGCTGTTGAATTTTGTTGAAGGCCTTCTCTGCATCTATTGAGATAATCATGTGGTTTTTGACTTTGGTTCTGTTTATGTGATGGATTACATTTATTGATTTGTGTATGTTGAATCAGTCTTGCATCCCAGGGATGAAGCTGACTTGATCATGAAGAAAAAGCTT